TGGCTACCTGAAGTTATGCTATTAAACCAAAATACCGAATTTTCCTGAAGTATTCTGAGAAAAAGAAGACAAAAAGGCAGCACAGCACTGACCCGCATTAATTTGAACGTGTTTTTCCAAATTTAAAAAGCATTTTAAATAACACATTACACTTTTGAAACTACTGAATGCTAAACAGACGTAATGGATGGGTAGAACGATGAAATCTGAGCATCTCTCTGAAGTAAGTAAGGACTGGTAAGGCGAAAGGAAATTTGTGTACACCTTGATCATCGAATCCATGTGTAATTTCGTGGCCTATCACGGCACCAATCGCACCATAATTTACCATCCTGAAAAACGAAAAATTATAAAAAGCATTCCCCATTATCAAGTCTTGAATTGGCGAGTATGGCTTTACAATAAGTGGCGCTGCTCTCATGCTTAACGCCTAGGTTTGAGTCTGCCAGCACAGCAGCCAGTCGTTCTACGATTCGTCCATTCGTTTCAAATGATTGGCGACACACACCAGGCGAGCCCGTGCGACCTTGTGTTTTTGCAGTGTTTCGTGATGTAATGAGATCGCTCCAAAACCCAGTAACTAGAAATCTGTGACATACTGGTTCTCGAATTTCGCACAGTTATTTGTCTACGCTGTACTTGGACAGGAAACGTTCCCTTAAAAATCTCAAGTCCTAGATTTCCCAGTCTCCGAGTTATCCATATTCCCGCCAAAAACTTTCACGGGGCCGTACATGAAAATCGCGCATGCCCGGGGGCTGAATTTGATAATTTTAATTTGTACATGAGTGGGAACATTCCCTGAAAATTTCATCATCCTGGCTTTTCTGATTCCTGAGTTGGTCATTTTCCCACCAAAAATTTTCACGGGGCCGTACGTGAGAACCACGCTCGGAGAGGGGCTAAATTTAGTAATTTTAAGTCCCACTTTTGCTGGGAACATTCTCTGAGAATTTCAATCTCTCAGCTTTCCTAGTTCCCGAATTAGCCATTTTCCCGCCAAAAGTTTT